TTTTTATTTTAAAATTTTAAAATAAGTAAAAAAAATAATCCAAAAGTCATATAGGAAGCACTTGTTTCTTTGTTTAAGAAATTTAAATTTAAATTTTTATTTAAAAGAATTTAATTTTTTTACTCAAATTAATAAATTATTGATATAATTATATGTAATTTATTAATAATACATTCTCATTATATGTCATGCAAATTAAATATAAAACCTCTCATTTTTATTTAAAAAATAATTATTAAATCACTTAAATTATTTTTAAAATTTTGTTTAACAATAATAAAATGATATAAAAACAAGACACACTATAATTTTAAAATAAATATTATTTTTAAATTTATATAAAACAAATATTATGTACACTTTGATGTAATCATAAATACCCATCACTCTTTTTTTTTTTTTCCGAATAATGTGAAATTTTTTCGAAAAAAAGAAAGAGGGATATGAGATTCGTTTCCAAATTCACTAATTTTATTCAAGAAGTGGTCAGTAAGTCACAAAGTGCGAAACACCCATAACTCTTGTTTATGAAAAAGAAATATATGTTATACATAGCACTCTTCACTCTATTCGTTGTTTTGTCTGATTCTTGTAAAATTTTATTTTATTTTTGAAGAACACTTGCTTTTCCTTTGCGTAATCACCATCCACATGATTTTTCCCCGTTTCATTTATATCTTAGACATTATTAGGCATGTTAAGTTGACATCAAATGACAGCTTGTATTAGCTTAATTATTTAGATGCCACAAAAATTAATATATATATTTATACATTGTGTAGATGTACAGCCCAAAATTGGACCACAATTTTAATTGGTTCGAGTTTTAATTTTGTTTCCTACTGCAACTTTCAGGCGCCGGACATTCCAACTTCGAAGTGCGTGCCGCTTTTTGGTAATAGTCTACCCTTATTTTTTGTATTAATTTTTTTTTATCTTTAATAATTATATTAAATTTTAATTAATTTAAAATCAAATTTTATTAAATTTAATTTTAAAAACTCTCTTAACATTTATTTTTTTTATTTATAAAATTTAAATTTTAAATTTTATTTTTTAAAAATTAATTTTTTATTTAAATTAATAAGTCATTAATACGAGCCTACCTTATTATCATATGAATTCTTTACCTATTTCTTTAGGTAACGTACTTCTTTCTATTGATGTTTTTCACATTTGATTTATGTGCTTTCGGTACAGGTTTTACAATAATATTCTTGTTAACGGTATTTACTTCCCTAATTAAAAAATGAAATTATTTAGAAGAAATATACAAAAATCAAACGAAAATAGAAAACTAAAGAATAATTTCCTTTTAGATAGTACTATGGGGAAATAAATTAAGATTTTGTTTTAATTTTTTTTTAAAATTACATAATTATAATGTGAAATAAAATTATAAAATTATAATTATAATATATTATTATATATTAATTTTTTATTTAAAATTTATCTATAATATTATATATATTTTTTACTTAAAATATATCATAATTATTTAAAATTATAATTTTATCAATGTCAATTTTTCAATAACAAAAAATTGTTTTACAAGTGAAATGTATATAATTTATCTTATAAAATTATTTAAATATTTTTAAAAATTAATATAAAAATAATATTAAAGATATTTAAAAAATTTTAAAAGATAAACAGTATATAATTTATCATGTAAAATAATTTTTTATTTTAATAAAATAAAAAAACAAATATTAAAAATTAAAACATTTTAATATTAAACATTCAATTCTAACCATAATATAAATAAGGTCTATATTATATCTTATTATTTTATCTTATGTAATTTTCATTAAACGTCATACTCAATAAGAAATCGTCGCTTTTGTTCGGCGGAAAGGGGAGAGAAATTGTGAAATCGTGGCTTTGGTTCGGCGGCGGAGAGGATGTCTGGTCGCCATTGGTTGGAAAGCGAAGGAGAAATGCACGGAAATGTCAAGCCATGGAGGGGTTGGACGGAAACATTGTCGCCACGTGGCAGATGATCAGTGGCGAAGATTGAATTTGGTGGCGGTTGTGCACGCAAAGCTGGCACGCGATTGACGGTGATTACTTTAGTGGGTCCACATCCACATTGGTTAGCTGTCACCCACCAATTTCTACGGTTCAGATTAAAGATTTCTAAATTCTTATTATCCTGTTTTCTTGAAATGCACGTTCAATGCACCATAGATTTCGATTTATTAATGAAATAAAAAAAAAATATTAGTATACTTTTAAGATATTGTTTAATTTATATTTTAAAAAGATATAAATTAAAAATATAATAAATATATTTTTTTATAATTAATTTATATTAAAAATTATAAATTTTGATATGTATTTTAATATTATTAACATATAGATAATTTTAATTAATTAATATTAA